TTTTTTTTTTTTTTTTTGCAACTGTTCTCGCTGCCATCTAGCGGCAAGGTTGCGAATTTCGGCTCAGACCACCGCCCACCCCTCCCTTTCCAAGCGCTTAGGAGAAGTTACGGTGACAGACGCAGGACAAAAGATGTTGATTGCAGTGAGTAGTCTTTTTAATTAGATTTATTAAGAAATTATATTTACTTAATTATTACGTAAAATTATTGTTCGAATATTATTGTTTAGTGTTTTATTCACTGACTTTAGGTAGATTAATTGCATGCTAAGTAAGATGAGGTAGTTAATTAAAGGTTAAAAAAAAAGATAACATTAGCAGACAGCATAGTTTTTTCTCTGTTTTCAGAGTCAGTGACAACCAGGTTATCATTAGGGAGAGGAAGAGGAAGACAAAGTGGGTGGAGAGGCAGAGGTGGTGGAGAAGAACGGGACGAGGAGCTACCCGGGAGGCTTTCCTAATGAAAAGAAGTGTGAAGGATGGGTCAACTCTGCAGCTATGTGTAACTTCAATGATGGACAGACTAAAACATGACTATAAAGACTAGTTCTGAATGCTGAGTGATTGTTATAGAGGAGTGATGGAGGAATGTTCTGAGATGAGATGATAGAATCTGCAGGCAGCAGCTGCACAGCCAAAGGTAACAATGTAAGGTAAAATGAACTTTTCATGCTGATACTCATTTTTCTAATGCCAAGGACGGCAAGTTGTACAATAAAACAGTCCAGGAAGTGGTCGGCCGAGGAGCTGTTGCAGATTCAAGTCAGCAGAGGGCTCGGTAAGTTTGCTTACAACATTGTAGCCTGACCATGAAGTCATATTGACTGTTGCAAAGAATTCCAATGTGTAGACATTTGTGCCAGGTTCCACATACCATATTCAGATCTTTTTTACACAGTGTGAATATCTCAGCTACTTGTTGAGATCTGAAATAGTTATCTACAGAAAGTCATGACACAAACATATCAAACATGTTGCTTTTTTGCCAAATGCAGACGTAGTAGCAAACCACTGACTGACTGGCTGAGAATTTTGTAAGTATGCAAATGACTCTGAAAGGGAAATGTCGCTAACTGTAAAATAACTTGATAACTTTACTGTCAATGGCAAAATAAATCTGCAAATATGATAGACCAAAGATTTTTTTTGGCCAATGTAAAAAAATAAAAAATACTGGGCTCACACAATAGATACTATAAATGTCTGTCTCTGCATAAAATGCAGCCAAAATTGTAGTGTTACCATTAACGTTTTTTACGGTAATGTCTTTGAAATGTGGTAATCAGTATCAGAGATGTAATTGTCATATTCTTTCTAGGGGTAAATTGCACAGGCGCAGTTTATGTTGGTTCTGGGGGATTCATGCATTTGTTTACTTGCACTGTCGAGTTAAAACTCGCTCATATAAACTACTCAAAAAACAAATTAGTACACATTATGAAGAAAAGGAAAAATCATCTTTAAAATAGAGCCATCAGAATGTAATGCAATTTCATTTCCAGTTTCCAGCTGAGCTTTTACATTGTGAAGAGCAGTACAGAAATGTACAAGAAATTGACCAGGGAATCTGCACATTAGCAGTGTGACATATAGTGATATTTGCATTGTGCAAGAAGAAACCAACAGTACTGCATTAATGTAATGCATATATTCAGGAGGGGTCCTGGGCCTTTTTGATAGGGCTAGGTTCTTCCTGAATCCACAACCATCTCCACTGTCTTAAGAGCGTTGAGCTCTAGGTTGTGGCTGCACCAGGTCACCAGATGGTCAATCTCCCAGCTGTAGGCGGACTCATCACCACCAGAGATGAGCCCAGTGAGGGTGGTGTCGTCCGTGAACTTCAGGAGCCTGACGGAC